ACTGACTCTTTCTTTTCTAGTGTATGGCAAGCATTATTTATAATTGAACATCAGGTATATCAAATAAATGAATTTCATAGCTTTCATGTGTTTCTTATGGATTGATTTGAATACGTAAATCAGTAACAAGGGAACTTATTTGATTGATGGAAATACGAGATTTTTGAAAATTTTCTAAATCTTGTATTCCATAGTTTTTCTTTATTACATGAATGAATGTTTATTTCAAATACATATTCTTGCTCCTCTAAGATCTTGCACATTCGTTCATATATTATTTTTTATTTTTCATTGATTGAATTGAGATTTTTTATTCTCGTCGATTTTTTCATAGTTATTATAACTGAAATGCAATAGAGGTTTAGCAACAATTCATAGATTGACTTAGTTCAATTTAGGACAGAAAAGATTAGTTGCCTTGAAACTTTTAGCATCTTTATAGCTGATGAATATTAGCCATTTCTATAAGTTTCAGTTTTCTCCGTCCAAGTTTCGCTATCTTTTGATATCCCATCCGATGTAACTCGTCTGTGTTCTTGAGAGGTGATGACTGAGAGACAAACGAAACCATGTATCAATGGTTGTCTTTGTCGTTTGAAAGAGTGGGTACGAATGAAGATGAAGAATGTCGTCCACATCCTACTTCTGCAAGAGTATATGTTGTTAACGGTTCTTTTTACTTCAACAGATATTTTAAAAAAGCAACCTATTATTCAGTTAAGATAGTTATATATTATCACCGTCTTCTGTTTTATCGATTTCAAAATCATCAAATGCAATATGTTTGATCATTTATTTCTCCCGTAAAATCATTTTCAACATCTGATGGGTTGATATACTATTTATTAAAACACAAAAAACATCAATATAATAATATTGATAGCAATCTCATATCAACTATGGCTTCATAATAGCCTACCTTCAAATCTTAAGATGAGCTAAACACAAAAAATGCTTTTTTTTTGGAAAACATTACAGCGTAAATTTGTAGAATTTGATAAGCATAAAAGAATAGAAATATAAGTCGATCTGATTTTATCTTCAGACATCTATACATCATTCCTTTACTGTTAGTCTGGCTTTCAGGCCACTCAGATCATACCAAAAAGAAGTTATCTACTCATAGGTCTGATCTTATTGGATCTGACTACATTTGTAAACATGATGAGCAATGTTTTGTGTGATAGAAATGGTTTGCATATTCTATAGTTCATCTAGCCAATTGGAAATATGAGTTCGAGTTTCAACATGATTTATAATCTTCTTCTTTCTCATTATACATTACTAGTGAGATGAAGAGAAAAACTCAGAATAATTCTTACAATAAAAAATTCCGTTTGATTTGGTAGATACGAGAAACTGATGAATATATTCTTTATGAATTAAAACATGATGGATATCTTCGATAATCAAAACTTTCTGCTTTAGCCAATTATAAAATGTTTAGTTTTAACATAGCTCTCGGTAGCAAAAGGTTCACATTTTAGCAGGTTTCTGTGTAACATTATATCAAATATTTAGTCTCTTTTATGTCTAAACTTATTGAAAGTTTTGCTCATTATTAAAAACATAGTCGTATTCAACAAATGATGAATATTCAAAAAAGATATCCCATGCGATATGAAACCAAATAAAAATCATCAGTATAACAATAATCAACCAGCGATAGTGCGAACAAATATGAAAGATAGAATTCTTACGTAAATACAATTAGCGTCTTCATGTATATGGTTGAGAAATCGAATCAACTGCCGGTACTTCAATCACACAAAAATTATCTGAAAGAGTGTAACTCTGTTATTCATTCTGATTCTATCGATACGAATAATAAATTTAATTTTAGACTGAAAGCACGAAATATATTAAGTAAATGAACGAATATAAATAAACCTGCTAAATGATTATTGAATAAGTCAGTTTGCTGTACTACTGGAGTCAATTTTAATGTCAATGGACCTAAGTAAATCTTCAAGAACTCTACAAGATGTACTAATAACTTTTTCATTTACATCAATTCAAGCAAGAACAAGAAATAAAAGTTACTGCAAATCACGACCTGAAAAATGCACTTTTTCGCTTTCTTCAAAATATCTCGTCATCATCATTTATTCCTTCGCCTTTCTTCTTCAACAGAATCTAGGTTTATACTTTATGAAGCGAAATACAATTCGTTGAATACTATAAAATCCACTGATTTTGATTGAATGTCCAATAAATCATTGATGAGAAAAAAAGAAAGGTCAACTATATGATATATCTAAATATAGCATATACATACTATCAAAAAATTAATGTTTATTTTTGTTACGATTCGGTATTTTGATGAGCATAGGTCTATACCAAATGAATTCGCAGAGACCTTGACACGGAATACAATACATAATAGTTTTCCTTGAATTTCCAATAATTATTCTAGAGCAAGAGTCGATGATTCTGTTGTATATGCTTATGATATAAAATAATCCATCAGAAAGAAAACATTCAGTGGTACATGTTTGTTTTTGTTATATATGACATTCTAAAGTTCATTGACATTTATCTCTACAGGAAATTAATTTTCTAGAAAACATTCCAATCAATGCTTTTTTATTAGTTCGTGTCTTGGGCTTCTTAATTATTGACAATAATGAATCAGAATATGGAGAGATATACGATTTCTGATAGAACAGACAAAATATTTCCCTTGATCAAAATTAGTAGAATCTCTATCGTATTTATTAACATTTCTTTTTGCTTTCTTGGGTACGACAGGAAATTTAATACTTCATTGATTTGGACACTAGATATTATGTAGACAGAAAGACAAGTATAGGGTTGATAAATAGGCTTTGTCAGAAGATGGAATACAGCTTAAATCTTAAGAAATATCAAAATGAGCTTTATACGAAATGCACGTCCTATTAAAAATATGTTCTAAGAGTATATAACTAGCGCGTCATAAGATATAAATCCGATACAGACTTACGTAAGTTTTTGAAGATTTGAAAGATACAATTCAACATTTCAACGAGTTGTCAACCACAAGAAAAAAAAGAGATTCTCGCAAAATATTTTTTGTCTATTTGTTTTTCTAGAACTCTCTTCATTGATTATTTTGATTAAAACAATTAAAAATTCTATCAATAAATAAAGATTCTAAGATTCAAATACTAAAAAAACTCAAACTGCTCTAACCAATAGTACTAACGTATTGTTTAGGAGTTAAACCCTAGTATCTTTGTTTATTGATCAACTTTTAAAATATTTTTATCAAAATGATCATCGAAATGGGTTCTACAAAAAGTCCAACAGACAAAAAATATTTTTCGAGAACGTTAGTTTTCTTTTTGTGATTAACTATGTGTGAAATTTTCAATTACATCTCTTAAATCTTCAAAATTTTATAGAAAATCTATAGCCCGTTTGAGTCAATTATACTCATTAATTCCATTGTTGACAAGCTTTCATTTGGTATAAAATTCATTTTAATATCTATTGAAATTCGAGCTTTATCCTCTCCTCCTAAAAAAGTATTCTTACTCATTCTGTACATTCACGATAGTCTAACTTTAAAGAAGTAATAAGTTCGCTACAGATGTTATCTTTCTAATACTTTTTTTCATTAGTTCGTCAGAATTATGAATACGAGATGCGATCTTATGTGTCTACTAGTTACTTTGAAATGATTTGTTCTGACATAGATTATTTTTTTTTCTATTTTGTAAACAAAATTCTGACATGTTGTCCTTATACTGAATAAAACTTCCTTAGTAAATAGAAAAATAATGATTCCTTTAGTTTGAATGAAAACAGTACAATCAACACATGATTCGAATAAAAGCCTTTTTGTTTACGATTCGTCGAGAAGTATAAACTTTTCAATTCTTTCACTACTTAAACATATGAAGAAAGGAAAATTATTTATTGAAAACGACCTAGATTTTAAGTATTCAAAACTATTTTTTTTCTCTTCTTTCTTCGTGCACCTCGACTCATAAAATATAAAACTATACTTTGTGACCCTTTTAATAAATACTGTCAATCATCTTTCACTTTATGACATACATCCCACTGATTATTGTTCAATCAATATAATAAACTTACATCGTTGTCCTTTTAATTTCAACAAACTATACCATATGGATAGATAAAAATAATAATGCAAAGTATTGAATAAATATGCATATACCATCAATATAAAATCTATTATCTACATTTTATTTACCATCAACGACTTGCTAACGGATGGTTTCTCTCTGTTTTACAGGAAACGAACGACTGTGTATCTTCTAACGATCATCATATATTCTACACAACGACTATCTGACCACAAATATACCAACGATAAAAAATAAAATATGTGGAATTCTTCCAATTCTGCTTGATTAAATCAAGTATAAACCTCGATCTACTCAAATAACGATTGTAATGAAAAGGAATACTTTATTTTTGTAAGTATATATATATGTAAATGTATCATACTGTTAAGCTTTTTCCTCATCCATGAATTATCGAAAATTGAATTAGAATTAATGTATTTTGTCGTCAACTTTGCTCCATTGATAAGAAAATGAAGTACAGTCATACAGTAGTAAATCGCGAAAAAAAATAGTCAAACTCTAATTTAAGATATTCTATGTTTCATAACTAAATATGATCTAGTTCGATATGTATTTAATTATATTGATTTTTTATTAATAAAAAAAGAAATTAATTTAATATTTCAATTAATAATCATTTCTAATATGAATAAATAAATATTATTGGTTAATTAAGATGTCGCTATAAACAAAAAGAATTTCAATTGTTAAAAATTTCCCATTTAGAAAAGAGTTTGTGTAAATATTGACTATACAAATGAATAAGAAAATGAAATCTTTTTAATTAAATTTTATATAAATGAATTACAAACAAAATAATAAAAAAAAAAACAAAATATAAACAAACAAAAACAAAGATTCTCATGTGGTTCGTTTATTTAGTACGTCTAAGTCTTTTTACTATTGAATTGCTTCCATGGCATGTCGTCAACAGATAATCGTAATAAAAATTATACATTTGAGATTAAATTTGGTCCCTATCATCAAAAGGTAACCATTACTATGAATCCATTTAGTTTAACAATGAATACATTACGTGAAGTTGCTATAAGATTTATTGAAACAATGGTTAGTTTTTTAATTAAAATTTCTTAAGAACAAATTGTTCTTTTTCTTTTTTCAAGTGTCCTGATCAGGATATAAAACTTTTACATAATAGAATATTATTATTTCGATATGAACCATCATCATACTCAATGATAATACCACTCAATCCAAGAGATATTCTTGTTCCGGATACAATTGTTGAAGTAGTTATATCACGTAAGTTAAGAAGAAGACGAAGAAAAAAAAAGATGTAATCATTTTCATAACCCAAGAGAACAGTATTTTATGTAAAAAAGAAAAACGAAGAATTTATTCTCTAGAGAAATTTTACAAAGTCAAATAAATTTTTCTCATCTAGAAATGTTTCACTTGTATAATATTTTCATTTAATGTTTTTTTTTTTGTTTAATCAATAATTTGAAACAAATAAAGCTAATTTCAGATTCTTAATAAATGTCATTGTGAAGACGTGCTCTTTAAAGATTATTTTCTTTATAAACAAGCACAAAATCAATAATTGTGCATGTCCAGAGTCAATCGGATGTGCATGTATAAGAATGTAGAGTAACAACAATAATTGATAGATAAAAAGTACAATGTCATACTATTCGAAAATTCTCTTGTAGGCAGCACTACTCTCTGGAAACAAGGCATCATACTGAATCTTTTATGGCCCTAGATTTCAGTACTATTTCTTTTAGCTTTTTCCAATTCTAGTCAAAAAGTTTCAAGGTTAAAAACAAGAGTTTTGTCCGAACGTGCAGCACTTATAAAATTTCAGATAATGACACCAAAACTTAGGGCCTCAAAGGATTCAATGTAACACCTTTTTCTAATAAAGTAATGCCTTCTGCTGTTCTATTTTTGTTCTTTTAGAGCTTAGCATTACTTTCGCTTCAATGTAGTCTTCCTTTTTTTTTTTTTTATTATCATCGTTTTCTTTCTTTGGCTTGCTCTAATCATATAATTTTACTTGGTATGTCTTCATTTGCGTTTTTCAATCAAAAGCATGCATTTCACTAATATGTACGAGGCATTTAGAGCGTTTTTAGTTTTATCCTATGTTGATTTGAAGAAAGGCAAGCATTCCGTTTTTTTTCCTGTAGTCTTTTTCTTTTTCTTTTTTTTCTTCTATATATTCAAGTAAATCTTGTGTTTTATTGCTTCATTCGAATAAATTCAATAAATGTGAGTTAATGATCTGTATGTATGAACAACCTTGATTTATGCTTTCTTCTCTTTTCTCTTCCCCTTTTTTTTCTTTTACTCGATCTCTCTAACAGCATTAGCGGATGCTTATTACACGTTTGCTCGTTCGTCTTACATATATACACATGTCAATTTTGCTTATGTCGACAATATCAAAGACAACACGTGTTTGTCGACTAAGCATCACACAGAAGAACTGAAGATATCATAAGCAATAAGAAAATGTCTAATTGTATGTAGTGGTATTTCTGTAACTATGTTTTCAGTCGGTGTTATGAGTGGTGTCGACTACCAACAAATAAAAAGAGCAAAACACAGAGAGACAGAAAGAGAGCGGGAAAAACATAAACCGATCGCTCTCATTTGTGTTCCGTATAAGAGTATTGATCAATGATTTGATAAGCGCGTTGGCGAAAGGGAATAAAGCAATTCTTGATTGTTACTATTGTCGTTATAGTATTTAGAGTGTTGATTTAATAAAATCATGTTATAGGAAAACGAATGAAGAAGAGAAAGAAAGATTAGTTTTGTTAGTAAGGATTCTTATTCTTATTTACACGCTTGTATAGTCAATTTAATTATATGTTTGATGACCATCTTCATAATTGTTGAAATATATATATATATATATAAATTATATGCTAAAAAGTTTACATCTGTTTATTTCCGGACGAGTTTTATTTTCTATTTCTATTGTAGCTTTAAATTAATATTTATTGATTCATTAGGTGTAAATTAGAAGAAGAAAAAAAAACCAAAGAAAGTGATTTATTTTTATTCTTATCAAGAAAAAAAAAAGATTTCTAATAAAAATTCTTTTTTTTCTTTCTATTGTTCTTAGTCATATTTGATCAACCAACTAATCTATAATTTAGATACTAATTAGTAAACATTGAATGATTGATTTGTTTCTTACATTTGTTTCTTTTCAGCCTACATCATGAGTGAATATAGTGGCCTTGTTCCGCATCTGTTAAGTTTGCATACTTATTTATCACCAACATTTTGTGATTTATGTGGACAATTTTTATTTGGTCTTTATAAACAAGGAATGAAATGTGAAGGTAGATTATTGAAATAATATTATTTTTTAAGTTCTTATTGAACTAAATGTATTTTTATGATAGGATGTGGTCGTAATTTTCATAAACGATGTGTATCAGATCTGCCAAATAATTGTTCGCCTATGGCAAGAAAAATATCTGATATGCAATGTTCACATGATAATAATGTAAATATAATTGATATTTGTTTTTCATTGAATTTTGACAGAGCAAAATTATATCACAAATTTGCAAATTTTAAAAAGAATTATAAGTTTTTGTTTTCGGATAAAAAAACATTAATAATTTGTTAAACTATTTTTTGGTATTGACAAAAAGTAGTTAAAATAGAAAAAAAAAAAAAGAAAGACTTTTAATGTCAAAATAACGTATACTACATGAATATCGAGGGATTTCTTTCATTTTCATTGAAGCATATGAATGATAAGATCTTGTTAAATCAATGTCATCGATCTTTTCTATTATGTTATAGGCTTCGAATGACTTAGAAAAGCGTTTAACATTAACCGGTACAGAATTACCAACAGCATTGCCACATTGTTTTTATGTACACAGTTATCGTTCACCAACAAAATGTCATATTTGTAAACGTCTATTAAAAGGTCTTGTTAAACAAGGTTACAGGTGTAAAGGTAGGTCACTCAGTTTATTTATTTTTTTTTCAATATTAGATGAGATTTATTTTTAGATTGTAAAATGAGTGTACATAAAAAATGTATACCGAAAGCAATGAAAAATTGTCGTGGCATGTCAATACTGAATAGTAATCAGGGTAATAGAACAAAAAAAAATAGCTGTATAAAATAAAATGAAATGAGATATTTCTTCTTTGAATAGATGACGATGATGCATTACGCGAAACAACTGATGATTTAGCTGTAGCTAGAAAATCATCAGATTTATCTGCTTCTCCATTAAATTCTCCTCAAGATGAAAATGATGATAATGAAAATTCTCGACATGGAAATATTCGTGCTCAACGTCTTATTCAAAGTATTAGACGTACAAAAAAGGCTAATGGTGGTGCGTTGTTTTGGGAAGGTTGGATGATATACACAACAGATAAAGATTTATTAATAGAAAAAAAATATTATTGGCGTGTTGATGCATCGTATGTTAATAAAAATTTTTCTTTTTTCTTTTTTAAATTTTTATTTAATTTAACAAGATGTATAACAATGTATCAAAATGAAACAACAAATAAATTTTCTCGTGAAATTCTATTAGAACATGTTTCATTACAATTAAATATAGATGATGATAAAGGACATTATTTTGAAATAAGAACTGAACAAAAAATTTATTATTGTGGATGCAAACGAACAAGAAATCGAGTAAGAACAAAAAGAAAAAATTATATTAAAAAAAAAAAAAATAAAATCAATTTTATCTTTCTTTTTTATTTAAAGAATTATGATTTAGTACACTCAGCACAAAATGCAAGAAATGCTTATACACAAATTAGACAAGCATTATTAGCTTATAATAATGATGGTAGTGAAATAAAAAATATATTTACAATAATTTCATCACGATCACAAAATCGTGATATTAATGAATTATATAAAATAAATCCAATTGAAGTACTTGGTAGTGGACAATTTGGAACAGTTTATGGAGGTTATTCAATAGAAACAAATGATCAAGTTGCAATTAAAGTTATTGATAAAACACGTTTTAATGAGCAAGAAGAAAAAATTCATCGTGAAGTTGATATTTTACAAGAAGTATCACATCCAGGTGTGATTAAATTACACGCTATGTTTGATACTCCTGGAAAGGTAATTTGTCATCATAAGATAAAATTAATTTTTTGTTTTTGTTGATTAGTTTTATTTGGTTATGGAAAAATTAAATTCAGATATGCTTGAAATGATTTTATCTCAGCCAACAAAACGTCTTAATGAACGACAAACAAAATTCTTAATTTATCAAGTAATAAGTGTTGATTTATTTTATTTTGTTGACAAAAACATTTTCTTTTCAATAATTAGGTTCTTGTTGCCTTGAGATATTTACATAGCAAATCAATTGTACATTGTGATTTAAAACCAGAAAATAGTTTGTTATATTTGATTGAATATTTCAAAAAATTTTAATCTTATTTTCATAGTTCTTTTGGCTCAAGCACAAGATTTTCCGCAAACAAAATTATGTGATTTTGGTTTTGCAAGAATTATTGGAGAAAAATCATTTCGACGATCGATTGTTGGCACACCTGCTTATTTACGTATGTTGTTTTGTTTTTTTGTTTTCGAGTTCAGTGTATGTTTCTCCGATTACTAATGATATCCAGCTTTCTATCGGAAACTTTTATTAAAGCCATATGAGTCATTTTGAAAGTAATACTTTATTTATGGAATAGATTATTAACATTTTCTAATATTTCCAGGCGTTCTAGGGACACTTTATATGTTGAAACAAGAGCATTCAGCCCTAATTGTTTCAACGTTTGTCATGAACACGAGTGTTTTATGGAGTAAGAGTTGAGATTGAATGAAACGTGTTAATCGATGTGTAATTAAATAAATATGACGATGAAAGTAATTGTTTGATATTTATGAAAAGTACGTAGAAAGAAATATTTCTGCTTATTTGAAAGATATTCTTACTTTTAATATAATATACTCCTTAGTCGAACTACGTTATATTAAATCTATTGATTATCGTTTGTAAAAAGAAAGATGAATAGCAGATTAATCAAATTGGAAATTTCGTTGTAAACAGTCAAGGTGTTTTATCTTCGCAGCTGTTTATCAATATACTATTGAAAAATTCTAATTAATAATTTGATTAATTGTACGATATAGAAACTGATATTTTTTACTTAAAGATCTGAAAATAAATTTCGAATTTCCAATAATGAATTTGTCTTTTTTTTTCAGCTCCAGAAGCATTAAAACCTGAAATTCGCTTAGAAAAAGGTTATAATCGTTCATTAGATATGTGGTCATGTGGTGTCATTATTTATGTTTCGTAAGTACAACTAGGTTTTTTTTCTAATTTCAAATTTTCATTTTTCTGAAAGAATTAAATTACATATATAAAAATTGAATATTTTTAGATTAAGTGGTACTTTTCCATTTAATGAAGACGAAGAAATCGAAGATGTAAAGATATTTGAAATATCATTGTTTTATTTCAACTATTTTTGTTTTGTTTTTCTTTAGCAAATTCGCAATGCCAATTTTATGTTTCCAACAAATCCATGGAACGATATATCAAATGACGGTATATTCAATTTGATTTTTCTTTAAATTAAAATATTAAAAACAAAATTTTTCTAATAAAATTTCCATTTACATAGCTTTACGTTTTCTTGAAAGTTTATTAGCATTGGATAGTAGAAAACGATTACATATTAATAAAGTTTTTTTACAACCATGGCTTCAGGTTGAGTGTTGATTATAATTTTTTTCTTTTTCTCATTAAAAAGTTAATTTGCATGAGCAATGATTATTATAATGCATGGAAAATTTTTTTCTTTTTCTATTTTTAATTAAATGCATGATAATGCACGATTATTTTAGCTATCGATCTTATATCTCATCATTTGCTTCAAGTCAACACCGGACATCGACTTGCTGCTGCTAGTGCTCTCAGACATGCTTTCTTTGAGGTGTGTGCATGGTTTTTTTTTCAAACTGATTCATTCATTTTTGTCTCGAATAATAAATATATTGATAACATTTTCATGTAGGATTATCAATTATATTGTGATTTACGTAAACTTGAAGATTCATGTGCTAGCGATCGTTGGTTAACAATCCCTGAAGATGATGATCGATGGGAAAAATATGCAAAAGAGAATGGTTTTATTAAATAATCATTTATTGGTAAAATTTTTCTATTTCAAAAAAAAACACTAGATTCTTATTTTCTTTTTCTGTAGAATCATCATTAACAGTAACAGTTCCAAAAAAAAAAAATTTTTAATGTTTAATCAGCTTTAACTGATAATAATTCAAATATTTTTATTACGTTTTTCTTCTGCGTAGTGTCAGATATACTAATGAATAACAAAAAAAAAAAAGAAACTACGCATTTAAAAGAAAAATAAAAAAAAAAGTACCCGTGTGAATTATTTAATACGATTGAAAAGTTAGTCATTATTTTTTTTTCTTATTTAGTCATTTATCACTAGTAAATCTCTCGTTCTTTTTTATTGTCATTCATTTGTCTATGTGTTGATATGATGCCTTTTTATTTTCTTGAAACTAGTCGGTTTCTGTCGTATTTTATGTGTATATGTGATGGTTATGGATGTAGAAATAAGCATCGGGATTTATATATGTGTGTGTTTCTGGTTTTTTTCTTCTTTTTCTATTCTAGATGTCATCAAGTATAAAACGAGTTTTCAACGATTCAACAAATGAAAAAAAACGTATAAAAAATGATTCAGCTATTGATTTAAATTTTGATATTGAAGAATTAAAACATGAAAAATCTCAATCATCCTATTCAACATCTATGTTATCTGGTATGAAATAATAAATAAGTTAGAATTTTTTTTTTAAGATTGATGTTTTTCTTTGAATAAATAGAGTCATTGATTGATAATGACTCTGTATTTGATGATGATGTATTTGAAGATGAACAAAATGTTACTGCATCTCTATCAAAAATCAGTCAAAGTCAGTTGATTTTTATTTTTAATTAGTTTCGAAATTTTTTTTTTTTTTTTATCATATAATAGATCAAGGTCGACAACGATTAAATGGAACATCAACATATCAAACAAAGGAAAATAAAACTAAACGAAAAAGTAAATGTATAAAAAAAGAAACTGTTATAATTGATCAGACATTAAATCAATTGCGTGAAGAACAAGCTCGTATTGATGCTCATTCTCTTTCAATTGTTACCAAATAAATATATATTATATATATATATATGTGTGTGTTATGAATATGAACTTTAAAAAAAAAACAAAAAAACTTCAATGTGTTTTGTCTAATCATGTGTCATATAGTATTATTTAGTTGTTGTTCTTTTTGTTAAAAGTTTTTGTTTTTTATTCAGTTCTTTTTCTCTTGATACGCATGGATTGATACAAATTGTGTTGGCTTTTTTCATCAGAAGAGTCAGATAGACGTATGTGAATTGTATATGTGAAAGAATGTTAATGATGGAATATATATATATATTTATCTATTGAAAAAAAAAGGTTTTTAATTGTTTCGAAAAGATAAAATTTGTACACAAAAATTCGAAAATAAAACTGAAAATATTCGTAAATAGATCTTTCTTTCAACGAATTTTGTGCCTCTTTAAATTGATGAATGGTGTAGATATGATTCTTTCACATAGCTAAGTATCGTAATCGTCTTCTCAGCCGATTGTGTCGTTTCTAAATGATATATTTTGTTCCTAAAATAGTAAAAGCCAAATAATCAAATAATTAAATTGAATATTCAATATACAGCGAGGTCTTGCTGAGCTGTTGTTTTTATCATGTTTTACTTCTTCAGTGCATACGAGTTTAATATAAATGTCACGAACTCCTTATGTCACACGCATTATATAAAGAAAAATTTGTAAGTATATTATAGAAAATGAAGAAAAAACGGCTCAATTTCGCTTGAATTGATGTTTTATTGTCAATCATCTTTTCATAATTGAATTTTTCATTTTATTTAGACCTTCGACTGTTCATAAACTAAATTTTTTGTCTTGAAAACTTATAATAATCAATAAAAGTTTTTCTATGTAGTGCATACACACACACACACACTATATATATACATCAATAAAAATCATGAAACTACTAATTAATAACATTATTGATATTGTCGGAGCACGGCCTCTCGCTTTGTGTCTCATAACAGACCTGAACCCAAGAACTCTGGAGAGAAATCGCTTGCTTTCTTGATGTGAATAAGATGTAAGCGTGTGAGGTGTGGTTCTTCTATTCACTCATGCACACATCTCTCACACACACTCAATAGTGTATGTACAGCTTTCGATAGATGCATGAAACAATAGCAAGTGATAAAATAATCAATAGATTGTTGACTGTACTTCAGGGTGAGAGTTTGTCGTTCAGAAAGAAAGCTTATGATATTTCTTGGAAGTCTGGGAACAGAAAGAGCAACAGATGATCTGTATGTAAGCCAGTAATTTTGCTTGGAAAAAAGAATTTGAAGAGTAAAGAGATAACATGCAAAACGACAGTAAAATTGAGTAAAAATGCAGCAACAAACGAAGTGATCAGTGGGTTTGTGACTCCACATGAAAATAAAATTTTAGTAGTCAGAGATGTTGCGTTCAGTGTTGTTAATGAATGAAGTGCAAGCTTGGCAGTCCATAATCTAATTGACTAATAACTATACTCGGGAATAATGTAAAGGAGTTCAAGCATCCAACATGCACATTGATATGAATATTGAGCGAAAAAAAAAGAGTAACAACGAATGAAATGATCAATGGACTGATAACTGCCCTTGAGGATATACGGAGAAACGTCAAATAGGGTGTATGAAAAACCCTTCAAGACATAGTTGATAAACACAATCTAATGGTATAATTACTAGGGCATTGATTATCTTTACATCTCAATATCAGTATGTTAGATAGACTGTTTTTAACGCTCTATGAAAAACAGATGACAAAGCTGCTACTAATGAAATGATGAGTATGATAGAAATAGCCCTCAGATACAGTGCATGTGAAGCTTTCAGGCAAATCGCTGAAAGATCAACAACAAATGAAGGGAGGGTGTATGTGTTAGATTCTTTGCGCAGATACTTTTATTAGTAATAAAAGCTAAAGGTGTAATCATTCAAATTATAATAATGGTGATAACTCCATTCGGTTATATGAATCAATAAGTTAGAGAAAATTTGTGTGAACTTGAATAAGCAATGAAGACAAAAACGGTCACAAACGATGCATTCTGTTGACGTATTACTGCATTAGACGATGAGAATGTTAACGTCAGATCGAATGCATGCTAAGTTCTTGGACGAGTCAAAGAAGAATCAAAATTTACAGCTGTCACTATTGATGAAAAACACAGAAGCTGATCAATATATCGGCTTGCACCACTAACGTAAGTAATTTTTTTATGTAATTTATAAAATTGATAAAATTTCTTTGATAAATAAGCATTTTCTCGACAACCACATGAAATAAGTTTAATCTGAATCATTGGGAAACGATTAGGTATGATCATGACAATAGGATGAATATTAATTTTTTTCAAATATCCATAAGTTTTCTCGTCTAGCATAACTTGAATTTATAGTTAGAAAAATATCTAAATTCGTATTCATTTCAACAATGCCACTATCTGTTATTCGACTTTGGTGTGTTTTTTTCTTTTTTTCTTACAAGCAAGAACAAATGGTCTATGTTAAGCAGCAACACAAAGTACAAGTACATCAATAGGATTAAATTGTTCAAAACAACTGAATAGACTTTTGTGTTTGATGTTAAAATATCCGATCTAAATTATGAATTCCAAGATATCATCTTACATATTTCACTCTTTCAGTTTGTCTTAAAATATCAAAAACTAATTTTCATGCAAAACTAATTAAATTATTCTACTTATTCGAGTTGTAACAGCCTATAAATACTTCACCCTTACTTATATGTAATATTCGTGTCCAAAATATTCATTCATATAAGAAGAATCTAAATCTATAATTCATATTTCGACTTTATTTTGATTCTATACTCAAAAACAAACATTCGTGATATAAAATGATTTGACATCATATCTAATATTGGACAACTAATGTATAAGATGAAGCAAATCAAATAGATTTTATTGATTAAAACTTACATTTATTGAAATCATCTGTATAGTTTTTTTAAACATGAAATCTTGTCAATTTTATTTAATTCATTTATTTTTTTTCTATGTAGAAACTCTTTCAAAATCTCATAATTTACTTGATAAATATTAATATGTAATATTATATGGTAGAATACTTTTCATGAGGCAAATACCCGTTAGAATGCTATCAATCGAGTAATAGTTGTAGAAATACCATTTATCTTTTTTTTTTGAATCTTTTTTAAATATATAGAAAGAGAATTTGTTTTTGTTCATATTCATGAAGTAGTTGAATATTTTCAGTAAAAAAAAATTATATCATATGTACATATGTTGATTCATATTCTTCATGTCAAGCATATGAAAGAATAAAATTTTGGCTATACAGTTTTATCTGTCTTGACCAACGGAGACAATCAATTATATCTAAATGTATATAATTGAGGATATACAATTACATTGTTCAATCGATTTTTCTGGTTGATATCGATGATTATTCAAAGAAGCAAATAAAGATCTAAAAGAATTATTTTTTGTATATATTTAAATTGGAAATGTGAGATTTGAAATAAGTTTCTTTAAGACTAAAATGAATTAATTTTATTAGAATAAATCTATTTATTTGACAATAATATCAATTTGAATTAATATGAGTTCGTTTGTTCTCTCAAGTCCTAGCTTAGTAACATTGTGTCCAAGTACTAACTTCATATTATCAATATATTACTATTTCAATTTATGTCAATTAACTGTAGTAGAAATCGTCCTCGTTACAATGAACTAAACCGGAATGTGTTTAATACGCTTTGAACCTTATTCATTTGTATTTCATTCTATTCATATTCCGAAGTGTGCAACTTTCTAGTTTAGTAAACAAGAGATATCGTTTATATCATGGATAAAAGTAGTATGATAGTTCAAGTTCAAAAGTAATATTGATATCATAGAAAAAATACTTATGATTGTTGTCAAAATGTGCAGATTTATTTTGTTCTTTTGGCAACAAGAGATAATTCGATTATTTTGTCCATTATTTCATTCAATCTCATTTAATAAACACTTGATGTATGAATTTCTATTAATTAATCTTTTGTTTTTGTTGTGACGCAAAATAAATCATTGAATAATTTTCATAACTTAATTAAAATTTCTAAATAGAAATAAAGAATAAAAATTGTCAAATTTCTATCTAAGTTAAAAATCATACATTCAAGTATAGGCATAGTTGATTTGAGATGAAGAGAAATATGTTAATAAATCAATGTACATGATGATTGAAATAAATGCATTAAGATTTTACCATGATGAATTGATCGATCATGGTTTTAGTGAGTCTTACGAAAAACAATTTTCAATCTTCTATGTTTTTTCTTTTTTTTTTCTGTATATGTGCAGTCTTCAAAAAGTTCACGGACAAGTTTTATTAAAAAAACATGATGGATATGAAAATATAGAAATATATTTCAGACGACTCTCTATATACAGACATAAAATTTAAACTTTAAGCAAAGTTATATGTTTCGAAAGATCAGCTGTTATTTGAAATTTATGAATATATGGTAAGAATTTAAAGTAATAATCCAAGTACACTTTAAAGAAAAATATGATGGATACTATGAGCGCTCGAAAATTTGTAATATATATTTTTTTGTTCGTTCTGTTTCGATTTCAAGGTCCTTGACAGCCATCGATTTTCATCACTTGAAAATTGTGCATTATCAGACATTCATTTTCGATTCTTTAATCTCTTTTAGATTTCTCGATATTAATATTCGAGAAAAGAAACATGTCGGAAACATAATATTGAGTGCTTTAGTAGAAACAAATCAAGCAGAAAAATAGTTTCAAGTGGTAAGATTAATTTTGATTGTGTAAACCTTCTTCAAGAAGTGATTTACAAATGTTTGTTTTATTCAGCTATTTTAGTAGAGTGCTTTATGTTTGACATATATTTTCCTTATTTTCATAATTTTTCTACAAACTATTTAATATGACATGATTAAAAATAAAAAGAAAGACCGAAATTCATAAGCTATTTTGATGAAAAACATGCCCATAAAAAGTTTTGCGTTTGGAATTTTTTTTAATA